ACTAAAAAATGAAAAATACATAATAGCTTAAAAAAACTAACTAAATACGCTTTTATAAAAAATCCAACTAAAGAATAGAAAATAAATTTTAATAAATTTGAATTAAAAATAGTGTAAGAAAAAATGATTTTATTGTAAAAAAGCGTGGGGTGCATGGTATCAGTAGTTATATATTTTATGAACAGATATGAGTAGAAGGGTTATTTTGATAATACCCTGAAAAGCTTTTTTTAAACTATTATTTATTTTGTTAAATGCGCATGCTGAGGATTGATTGAGATGTTCAGATGCGCCCCGTGGAACTAGAACACATGGATATGAGTATTTTTCTTTTTTAGTGCTGAATATGAGAGTTTCTAGATTAAAACTCTGCCGTAGACTTTTGGTTTATTTATTTATTTAGACACACCAACAGCAATACACACGAAACATTCAAGCTTAAAATTATAATGTATAAAATTAAGTACTGGTATGTAAGCCATTTACAGGCATGTACAACAATCTCTTATAACACACTATGACATGTTTTAGCAATTTTACAAACAGCTGAAAAATAGGCTAAATTTAAATGTTAACAGAACGACAAAAAAAAATTGAAAATAACATGAAAACAAGAGTTAACTACTTAACATTCTCTCATCAATTATAAACAAAGGAACTTGGATACTATATAGTTTGTTTTTGAGACCAGGACACGTGTCGTTAAAAATGTCGATGCCGTCAATTAATGCACATATTTGGTTATATTCACTACAAATCTTTGATAAAGGGGAATATCTAAGGAGGTTTGTTCTACTTGCGGGAATATGGAAAATTTCAGTGATAGGATGCCGTGGGCAGTTGTATGGAACGCTAAAGTTGATTTTCTGAAGTAAGTGGCTACAATCTATGCTTCCGGAAATCAGTTTTTTTAGGAACATGATATTAATTATTCTACGACGGTTGTCGAGCGATATCATTTTAAAATGTTTAAGACATAGATCATATGTGGTACGGTAAGATATGCTAGAAGAATGGAATGCCAAGTGCCTAGTGAATGCACGCTGTACGCTTTCAATACGCTGCGAGTAAGTAGCGTAATGGGGATCCCAAACTACTGATGCGAACTCAAGTTGACTGCGAATTAGCGAGTTATATAATATTATTTTAGTGTTTGAGGACATAAATCCCTTAGTATTTCTTTTTAGGAATACCATCATTCTGGCAGCTTTAATAACAACAATTGCATCAATATGTGCTTTATCGTGATTATCAACATTAAAGGTCATGTCTAGTCGGACTTCTTATGAGTCAACTCTTTATCCTCAATCTTCCTGCACATATCTTATTACGGTAATGGTATTTATGTTAATAAGTCTGCAGGGATCAGCGCTGTCGTGTCGCTTGTTTCTGTCGTACAAAGCATAGTGTGTTTCAACTATGAAAGTGCACGCCAATGACCTTGATCTGTCAAAGTTCGATAAAAAAGTATGGATAGCAACAAAAAAAAAATATCTTCTTTTTTTAGTGATTTTTTTGCCTAATTATAAAGATTATTAATATGTTTGTTTTAATGAACCATACGCACCTATATAATTATCTTGTAATGTTGAGTAATGATCGCGGTAAATTAAACATCAATTTAGTTGATATAAAAAAAAAATCACATGTTTAAAAATCAAGACTGCTATACTGTCAGGCCTTATAATCTATGGATGGGCGACGATGATGATGATTACTCAAGCAGTGGGATGAATGGAATCGGGAAATTCGAATATTTGGATTATAAATTAATATTTAAAAATTCCTATCTTTTTTAACTGACTTTACCAATTTTTTTTGATTTGATAGCTATGACGTCACAATATGGCGCAGGTCCATGCACATTGTTATTTGAAACGCATTATAACGATCAATGTTTGTAGTTGTTATTCTAATGCCTTTAAGATTTTGTGAGTCCGAACGGGTAGGTATGACCACCGCCCTACGTATTTCTGCCGTGAAGCAGTAACGCGTTTCGGTTTGAAGTTTGAGCACCCGTTTTACTGTAAAAGCTGAGACATAGGACTCGTGTCTGAAGGTGACCACTTAACACCAGATGGCTCCTCCATATATATTAGAAAAAAAATCGTAATGGGTTAAAGACACAAGTGACATTACCAGCGGTAGCCGTCGTAATAATTGGTGAACGTCGAGTCCTTTGCATATTCACCACACTATTACGAATCATTTACGTCACTTTTGTTACTACACGAGATTTATTAGTTTATATCTGGCGCATAGTTAATTAAAAATACCTACACAATGAAATGTGGAAGACTATTAAAAACTATATCTATAATTATTTTTGAGTTACATGAACTTTATTATTAATTAAATATAATAATAGTTTTATTAGTGCATTCGTTTGTAAACAAAGTCATCGATATCAATTAATTTGATTAATTAAGTACGTCAATAATATTCATTTGCACAACATTCACATTATGAACTTAACAATTAAACACTCGCTGATATTGAATATCGACCATAAACGTTCACAACATCTATCGGTGATTGTCTTGTAGCTACATGTAATAAAATGCAAGGTATCTAGACAGAAATAGAAAACATAAAGACATATTAATTAATCAAACTAATAAATGTATTAAATCAAAAATTCATCGGCCCATACCATTCCCGATATGATTATACCTACTGTGAACAGATTGGACACTGGCGGAAGCTTTTTTGATGTGATAACGTCTTAAAAATCGATAAAAACCGGCTGCACGCACGAAAAAGTGTCACGTTCCGCCTGAGCCCGAAACGGAGCGTGCGAGCGAGAGCGCGGAACAAGCGATAGAGAGGCAAGATCGGCCTAAGCGTTGACTTGTGACACATTTGTCTCTCTTCTCGCGTGACGTCAGAGCTAACAATTCGAATAGTTCTGCTACTGACATTATCAGGTAAAACTATCGTCCGTAAACCGATTTTACAGACAACCAATTATATTTTTTTTTATTACCGTTCAAACATTGTATTTGTAGTCTATCTAAGGGTCGCTTCGTTGCACTTGACAAATGCTTAAATTTTGTATCAATCAATAAATAATATATTGTTACAATACTTAGCTAGAGAATCGGAATCGACAAGTAAGCCCTCTTCATGTGTAATAATGCAATGAAGGGCGAACAAGGCGGATGTTTAAACTTATTTGTGACGCCGATGGGGTCGTACCAACCCTTAGATGAGGAAATCGTTATGTGCCTATTGATAAAATTAAATTATATGACAATTTTGTGTACTTTTTGAAGTGAAACTTCTTTATCGGCGTTGGAAAAAAATTTACCGTCACATTTTTCGGTTACGCGTCACATTTTTCCGTTACGCGCCATCTTTTTTGTATTCATGTCTATGATAATAAAATCCTTTTGTTTAAACTTTATCTAATTTAACTTTATTTAACCAATTTCTAGAAAGTTGCATGTAGATCATTTTTCGAAAAATAAGGCCATAAAGAAGTTTCACTTCTTACGTGTGTACACTAGTACACGCACACATTTTTTTGAAGTGAAACTTCTTTATCGGCGTTGGAAAAAAATTTACCGTCACATTTTTCGGTTACGCGTCACATTTTTCCGTTACGCGCCATCTTTTTTGTATTCATGTCTATGATAATAAAATCCTTTTGTTTAAACTTTATCTAATTTAACTTTATTTAACCAATTTCTAGAAAGTTGCATGTAGATCATTTTTCGAAAAATAAGGCCATAAAGAAGTTTCACTTCTTACGTGTGTACACTAGTACACGCACACATTTTTTTTTCTTTGTAACACGTCTTTTATTAGCTTGGTATTTGCGTATGATTGTATGTAACAAAATTTTGAACGACTTTTTCATTGATTTGAAGATGTTCATTTACTCGAATTTACACACACATCAAGGATCGATCGAGGTGCGTACTAACTCGTAGACTCAACCCACTGAGTTTCTCGCCGGATCTTCCCAGCGAGTCGCGATTCCCATCCGGTGGTCGATTCTGACTGCTCTTGCTAGGGCTAGTTTTCTTGCTAAAGTTCTCTCAGGTCAGGCCCGTGAGCTCACCTACCTGCTCGCGAGAAACTGGAATAACTCCTTATGCTACCAGCGATAGGGGAAAAAGGATCGATTGAAATACAATATTTTTAAAATATAACTTTATTAATAACTAGCTGACCCGGCAGACTTCGTAGTGTCTCAATCGATAAATAAAAGACCTAAACTTTTGTATAAAATAAACTTAAAACAAACAAAAAAAGAAATCTGTCCGACGGGGGACACGTCAAAGGAAAAACAAAATTGTTATTTTTATTTAATTCCGAGCATTTTCATATTTATCTACCTTTTAAACCTTCACTGGAATTCCACACATACTTCAAGACCAAAATTAGCCAAATCGGTCCAGCCGTTCTCGAATTTTAGCAAGACTAACGAACAGCAATTCATTTTTATATAGATAGAAGATAGATAGATGTCTTAACCACTTAAACAATTGTTAGTTCAGTTTGCTTGCTCTTGTGTTTTCGTGTTTTTTTTGTGTTCAAATCACATATGAGGCCGTCAGCCCAAAAGTAGCTTAAGATTATCATAGTATGGAAATAATGAGGTTTGAACTTACTTTTACACTGCTTCGTTGGCAAAAATAATACGCGCGAAAATAAGTTTTTACAAAGCCATCTTTTGTCTATGGGTCAAACTAGGGATGGGCCGGGCCGGTTTTGCATAAAAATTGATTATGTTTTAAATATATTGCATTATCTAAGCACCAAATAAAAATTTGTGGGTTAAGTCACTTTGGTGCTGACGGCCTTATATTATAGTTAATTCGTTATGATTAAAAACACCAAAAAGTGTCATGTACCCACGTACATGATACGGCAATATCATCCTGCTTATTTCTTGGCACAAACTAATAAGCCACTCCGTTTATGTCACCAAAATCGTGTCAATTGCCAAAACTGACGAAGCACTAATCTAGTGATATTTCTTTCTTCCACAGATGCAGATCAGCTCTGCTTGAACCATGGCTGTTGCGGGCCTAATTCAAGGCAGAGGCTAACGCAACAGGCCCGGTCGCAGCTTGAGGCAGCGCTGCGCAGTGAACTCAGCAAATTGTCTGACATGCTGCTGAATAGAGCCAACAAGTTCGATGGTAAGTGTTGCGTACAGTCAAAACTATCTTTAAGGTTTTATTGCGTCTCTTTTATTGTTATTACAGTAAAGGCTTTTTATCTGTAGGGTATAAATTTCGTAAATATGCCGCGAATACGAATATGGGATTATAGAAGACACGTTCCTAGATGATAAAAGAAAATAACATAAGCATACTTGTAATAAGGTCTGTTTTACTCTTTTATTAGTTCATTTGACGAAGCGCTAACAAAGAACATTCGGTTGGATACCTATATATTGGAATCCTTTTTATCAATGTGTATACACCGATGTACAGATTGGATAAGCGACGGTAACCGTACTCGTCGAACTCGACAAAGAGGTCGACGTGCAACCTAACCCATGCATCAGCCCGCTGAGTTTCTCGCCGGATCTTCTCAGCGGGTCGCGATTCCGATCCGGTAGTAGATTCATTCGCGAAACAATTGCTCTTGAGTTGTTAGGTCTCCTTCGGAGGCGCTCGGGCAGTTGTTAGCAAATNGTACAGATTGGATAAGCGACGGTAACCGTACTCGTCGAACTCGACAAAGAGGTCGACGTGCAACCTAACCCATGCATCAGCCCGCTGAGTTTCTCGCCGGATCTTCTCAGCGGGTCGCGATTCCGATCCGGTAGTAGATTCATTCGCGAAACAATTGCTCTTGAGTTGTTAGGTCTCCTTCGGAGGCGCTCGGGCAGTTGTTAGCAAATTCCACCCCTCTTGGCTGAGCCTTTGCTCGCCCACCTGTCCTGGTGAAACTGGAAAGGCCTTCGGGCCACCAGTAAAGTTTCAATCATAAAAAAAAAAAAAAAAAAAGGATAAGCGAATAAAGATATCTTTAGCCGCATATAGGAATTCGGTCGCTTTTTTTTTAATACGCGAATAGTGAAAACGCGTATGAAGGAGCTTTTATTATATACTAGCTGACCCGGCAGACTTCGTAGTTCCTCAATCAATAAATAAAAAGACCTACACTTTATTTAATTCCGAGAATTTTCATATTGATCTTCCTTTAGACCTTCTCTGGACTTCGACAAATAATTCAAGACCAAAATTAGCCAAATCGGTCCAGCCGTTCTCGAGTTTTAGCGAGCCTAACGAACAGCAATTCATTTTTATATATAAGTTATATATAAGAAGAAGAAGAAGATTATTGCCGACGTATCATTTAACAGTATTCATGGTGACCCACGGACTGTGATTGCAATTGAGTCAACGTTTGAATATTCTGCGGCACAATATATAACTCTGCGTCATTCAAGACAGCCATCATATGCCAATGATTGATAGCTCGAACATCATCGCTCGCCTTTAAATGTTTTCATAACGTAAACTAGTTTAAATATCCGTCAGTTGCATGCAGATAAAATCCAGATGCAAATTGATTTTTTGATGAATAACACGTTACGATGCTTACAAAATTAAATTTTCTAAATTGAATGTGGTGCAGTGCAGCCTCAGTGTGCTTTAAATAGATATGTTACTCCGATTGGGATGATACAATAATAAAAACAAATAGAATACTAGCAGACCTGGCCACACGTTGCTGTGGCTAAGGTTTTTGTTTCTAAATAACACGTGGCCGACTATGTTAATAATAAAAATTAACAAAGTAAGAACAATTGGATTTCACTGAAATTCACTGAAGAAATTAAATTTACTACGAAATAAATTTCACTTATACTTTTGCCTCAGCAACACGTGGTGTTTATGCCATTAAATTGTAGCTTATGTGAAACGTTGGTATTTTTAACACAGCGCCATCTATGAGATAATAATGTCAGACAATATTACAATTGTCTGTAAAACTATTGCGACCATTAATCGAAATAAAAATCATCCTATGGCCTAAGTTGGAACAAAACACATATTTAAAAAAAAAGAAAATTAAAATCGGTTCAGTAGTTTGGGTGTTCATCGCGGACAAACAACGTCACACATAATTTATATATGTAAGATGATGACTTTCTTGTAGCTTTCGTACTGTCATTACTAGATTAATGACACGTCATTTCAGATCCTCCAGATCCACTATTGGTTTTTTTACGTACTTTAAGCACCGGTCAGCGTTCCTGTCGAAGCCGTCGCTTGCGACAAAGCGTTCGGCGAACAAATTAACCTTCAAACACAATCCACTGAATTGCTCACCGGATCTTCTCAGTGGGTCGCGATTCCGACCCGGTAGTAGATTCAGCGAAGCACTGCTCTTGCTAGGGCTAATGCTAGCGAATTCGTCAGGTTAGAGCCACGTGAGCTCACGTATTAGCCTGGTTAATTAGATTAGGCCCTCTAGATTACCAGAATAGGTAGAAAAAATTAATAAAAAAGAGTAATGGAAATATTTGTCCGTTTTATGTTCACTGTTTTGACTTCCATGCGTGAGACTTGGGACCATGCACTCATTTAATTATTTAATTTAAGTAATAAATTGTACGTAAGGTATTTTGCAATTCACTCGCGGTAGAAGTGAAACTTTGAGAAGTATTCTATCTCATTCTATCACAGGCTAAATTCTATATGTTTGTCTCATTTTAGTGTCGCTTTTTCGTTTCGTATCCATACGGTATAAAAAAAATCCTTTACCTGTAAACCGAAGTAAGATGGAAACGCAATACTAAGGTGCCGTCGTCTTCAATAAACTGAGTAAATTTAATTTCGCTTATCTTCCCCATACGCTTACGGGTCTAACAAGAAATGAAGACGAGAAGAAATACATAATATGTACGCTTTAGTTAACATTTCTTGACAAATGTAAATGTTTAGTCTCCAGTGTGCGTACTGTTTTAATCATTATGATCCATTGTTCCATAAAGTTATAAATGAACGATTTAGCGGTGACGGAAGCACTGTGAACTGTGACTCAGACCGAATCGGTTAGTTCCACGATATTGTGAGCTTGTGAGCCATTGAGAAAACTTTACAACGAACGATCTTTCGTTAGTTAGAGTCATGTTATTCTGGATTCTAATTCGATACTACAGTCAAAATTAATAGTTTTCCTCATCAGAGTAAATTAACCCATAGACACAGCCCACTGAGTTTCTCGACGGATCTTCTCAGTGGGTCGCGTTTCCAATCCGGTGGTAGATTCTGCGAAGCACAGCTCTTGCTAGGGTTCGTGTTAGCAACGTCGTCAGGTTAGAGCCCCGTGAGCTCATCTATAAGTTTACGCTGAAATAGCCTCTCAAGGCTATCATCAGCTTAGGTAGGAAAAAAAAATCGTTAGTAACGTGTTCGGTTTTATGGATATTTTATTTATCGATAGCTATCCCCTCACACCTCGTACGGTAAATCCGTTCAATTCCAGTTTCACAAACGCGAATAAATACAAGGTTTTTTTTTCTTTTATTTTAAGCGTTGCGTAGCCAAAAAGCCAACAGCGACTTCCATAATTTGATTCAGTCCACCTGCCAGTCCACCCTTTTAATAGGAGCAAATCGGCATTTTACATATTGATAAACTTTTTTAATCTAAAATTCCAGATAATACGTTTTTATGTCTCGCTAATCGATGACGAAATTCCGAAAGACTGAGATACTCTTAAGATAATACAGGTGGTAGGACCACTTGTGAGTCCGCGCGGATAGGTACCACCGCCCTGCCTATTTCCGCCGTGAAGCAGTAATGCGTTTCGGTTCGAAGGGTGGGGTAGCCGTTGTAACTATACTGAGACCTTAGAACTTATATCTCGAGGTGGGTGGCGCATTTACGTTGTATATGTCTATGGGCTCTAGTAACCACTTAACATCAGGTCGGTCGTGAGTTCGTTCACCCACCTAAGCAACAGCGTCCCTAGCGGCAAACGTAGGCAAACGTTCCAACTACACAAATTTGAGTTAACGTTTACGCTATCGAGAACGTTAAAAAACTCGCACTAAGTCGCACATCTGCTTTTATCAATCAAATAAATGAATCACCTATAAGTAAAATCTACAAGTTTTTTTTTTATGAATAACTTAGCTACTTACCCGAGTAAACAAAGCGACCGTGAGAGTGGAAGCTTATGAAAGTTTAAATATTGATTGTGAGTGAGCGGTCGACGACAGTTGATTTTGTAATTAAGCTCGGCCGTATTTTCGGGAGGGCGGCTGTCCTCCGATCTTTTAAAATTGTTTGAGCCACCATCGTTTTTCATATGGCGAGATAGAGGAAAAACTCCAAAATGGCAAGCAATTTTCTACCATTTTTTGTAAACAAATTTTAATTGAAATTGTTGTTCATTTTACGGTAAAATTAAAATTCATATCATTTTTTTTTAATTTCTGTGTATATAAATAATTAATGTTATAGAACATCGTAATGCACAAAATTCCCTGTACCATTTCCCTGTACCTGTTATTAATTGCAATAAGAGAAAAGTTAAACATGACATTGTGAGACGCACTTCACGAGTCTCCGTCAGACAGTGTTGCCATGTAGAAAATAATATTTCACATACATTTAAAAATCACTATTGAATTGCGGCTGTAAATTTAAGATTAATTTAATTTAAATTGAAAACTTTAAATGTAAATTCAAAGTCATTATTTATTTATTTGGAAGATACTTTATGCATGTAAAAGTTTTAGGTCAGATTACTTCAGCTCCGAATACAGAATGGCTGTTTTTATACATCAATATACATAGTTTAATTTTGTGAAAACTATATTTATTTATTAAATTTCATTAATGATGGAAGAATTTTCATAAATTACTTTTACAAAAACTGCCTTTACTTCGACTTTTATATTAGATTTTAAGTTTAAACTTCAATCTTAAAATTAAAGTAGGGCAACCACATTCACATTCTGACTACGGATTCCGGTACCTAGTATCAAAGCATTTCCATAGCTTATCTTTTTAAATATATTTCTTCTGTGCGTGTGTTTGTCATTGAACTCCTCCTAACCGGCTGGACCGATTTGAATGATTTTTTTGTATGCCTTTGGGTGGCACCCTGGATGGTTTAGATTCACAAATCAGCCCGGCAGATGGCGCAACAGTCGGTATTTAGGTTATTT